AGAGTTAATCAATGTTAAATTACCTGAAAATATTAATTTACCTAGTAAGATTTTAATAAATAGAAAAAGGAAGGAAAGAGAAGAGGAAACAGAGGTAAGACATTCAGAGAGAACTAAGAAAGTACCTATAAGAAAGAATTTGTGAAATATTAAGTTCCTTATGTTTGATTGAATTTTGTAATTTTTAGTTGTAATTGTAGTAAAATCTGTAAAATAATAATCAAAATAAAGTAGTATAATAGATTATTTTGTTATGTATTGCTAATGTTTATGTACGAGTGTATAGGTGATAATGATTATGTTGATTGTTCAGTTCGTAATAAACGGCTATAGAATGAATATGTTTTAGCTGCTGCTTCCTACCCTACGTCCTCCACATAACACTAATCTCAGCGAAATAGTAAAACGAATAAAAAACATTGTAATTACTACTTGCCCTCTCTGACCTGCTGTAAATAAACTTCATTAATCAAGTTAAGAATTACGACGTGTAATACCTTATAAACATAAAAACAAGTCTTTCATAACATATTGTTAAAGCTAATTTAAACTATTTGACACGGTACCGTGTTTCCCTCAAGTAGTGATGGTAATTATCGAATAGTAACTATCGAACTATTCGATAGTCTTTCAAAAAATATTCGATAGTTACTCAATATATACGAATAGTTTTAAAAATTATACGATATTTTATGCTAAAAATAAACTATTCGATTGTATAAACACAATTCGAATAGTTATTCGATAATTTAAAATATTTGAAAATGCCCATCACTAATTTTTACTATTATTAATTGTATCATAATTTATTTTAAGTATTCGTTAATTATCTTTTTATTAGAATTAAGTGTACTTAATAAAAATTTTAGGTAGACTAATCGAATAATTTTTAAAACTATTCGATAATCTATTCGAATAGTTTTAAAAACTATTACATTAAATATGATAATAAGTACATTACATATTTCTCTATATATCACTAAAAAACTTAATTATAGCACGACAGTTAAAAAAGACGCAAACCTACAAACTTTTGAAATGATCTCTTATAAATCATGAAATGTTGACCTAGAAATTTTTGGTTTTTTGCTACGTTATGACATTATTATCAGGGTTACTTAAATGACAGAATATTTACTCATTAATTTTACTTGTGAAGCATAATTAGCTACCATCCGTTTGACAGTTTTTTTATCGAGCTTTGTAAAACATAAAAAAGTCCCTTTGTTAAACAATTTTTTATTCTAACCTTGTAAAGCGCCAAACTGAAAAATGAATTTTAATAATGAAAATTATACTATTTATTTTTTAAGTATTAACTGCTCATAGCATAAAAAACATAGAATAAGAAGTGATACAGTTCTAGTAAAAGATAAATAAAAAAACTGTAAATCTGTTTACAGTCAATGCGTCACACTCAGCAGCTATAAATATGTATTGACTTGTTTTCTTGATTTAACATCTCAAGGGACAAAATGTTGAGTATAGTACAACCAAAATAAAGTCCAATCAAGTGCAAAAGGTTAGGATTCCTAACCTTTTGAAATGGTTCCTCACTTTAAAAATATTTTATATACTTTGCAAGCATACAAAAGTGTTACACAACCTCATCTTAGATACTTAAAGTAGTAAAGAATTATTCATGCTTACTGTTGCCACTCTAGTATCAAAACTACCGTAAGTCCTACTATTTAGACGAGAAGATTAATATTGAAGTATAACATTTTTTTTATAAAAATATTGATGTTTATAGAAATAGTAACGATTTTACGAAATAATCTAATGAATTTAGATTGACTTGTCATTTCCTAACAAAAATTATGTTATTAACCAATATTGTGTCAATTATTTTTGAAATTATAGACTTGTGATGTCAATTATACTTCAGAATCATGATCATATTATCAGTTTGTAGATGCAACATTTTATTGTATTATTAAAAAAAAAATTCTACTAACTTTCATAAAATTTTTTAGTACTGAGTTTATATGCTACTTCAATACTCTCGATCAAAATGAATTACTTTAGTATACGATTACTTTCAGTAGAAAGTCATCTATGTAGAAGACTCTTTCCGTCAAGTATTATAAATATTTATCACATTTTGCCGTATACTTATTATTCTTATTATCTGGTGGAATATAAATTACTTGAAAATAAATCATAATAATCTATAAAGTATTTGTTGTTAATCATATTTTTACAATGTAACAATGGTTTTAATTAAGTATTCTATCTAAAGTAGATTGTGTATTAAAATAATAAAAGAAGTGAGACTAATTATATGAGTGCTATAATTCTAACCACGAGTATCTTAACCAGTATTTTTTTTTTTTTAATAAGTTACCTTCTTTGACTATTTAAATTATATCGGTTATTTTTGAACTCTTAATAATGAGGGGTTTACAGTAAGTACAATTTTCTTTTATGAACAAAAAATATATTTTTTTTAATGCGTATCACATTTTACCCAATTTTTTTTTTTAATTCTATTGTACTTTGATATCCGTTTCAGTTAGTAAATGATGAATTGTGTTTAAACTACTACCCTAATATTTATAATTGGCTATGAGCATAAAATAATTTCAATTGTTACAAGACAGCTATTTTTATTTATTATTTATTTTTCATTTTTTTTTTTTTTATTATCTTTACATTTACA